GATTCCTTCAGGGTTTAACTCATGGTTACATTGTGTGTGTACCACTCAGCCACATGGGGAGGGCGGGTAACAGCACGTGGTTTTTATGGTCGTAGGAAAAAAAAGGGAACATTAAACTCGTCCAAGGGGTCCTCAATGTGGGGGTTGGGGGAAGGGGGTGTGCAGCTAAGGGGCTCATGCAGATGGCGGGGTAGGCTTGTCATTGCGCATTTTTTGGCGGTAACGGGACACTGATATTCGTGTCAGGGGAAAAAGAAAAAAAAAAGAACACTGTCAGAGGCTAGGCTACCAGCCGGGCCGCCCGGGTCACCTTGTTTGCCCGGGCGGCCCGGCCGTGCAAGGACCAAAGAAGGTCCCCGCAAAAAAAAAAAAATCCAAAAAATCGCGAAAAAACTGGAGAAAAATAAACTGAACAACTTTTGCCTCAGGGTCACATCGAAATTCTTTACCAAATTTGAAATAAAAAACAAAATAATTTCTTTTCTGTTTTAATTTTTTTTTTGGACCGACCGGGCAAGTGGCCCCGGGCCACTCTGGTAGCCTAGGTCAGAGGGTGGCACGGAAGTGAAGATAGACAAGACGGAGAAAATGCCAAGTGATGGGGCACAGCAGTGGGGGAAATTCAAACACAGCTTCAAGTTTTCCCCCTTGCCGTTATTGCACCTGTGCACATGTGCACATGGGGCAAATTCGGACCTGTCTGTCTGGACGCATTTCTGGTGTTGTACTTATCTTTCTTGTACAACAAAACACTTATCTGGACGCGTTTCTGGTGTTGTACTTATCTTTCTTGTACAACAAAACACTTATCATCAGGGTTACCTGACCGAACGTTCGGGCCCCGGGCTGGCCCCCGAACGTTCGGGCGTTCGGGGTCCCGTTCGGGGGCCGAACACCTCCAGGTTCGGCCCCTGCCAATTTTTTTTTCGGGGCCTAAAGATAACTTTTTTTTTTCTGAATTTTTTTTTGTGAGTTCTCTATGATGTAGCCTACATGCCTATAAATTTTGAAGTCATTCTGCTAAGCCAAAAAAAACATTAAAAATCGTCAAAGATGGGGGTGTCAAAACGTGCTCGCCCACTCACTATTT